ACACACACACACTCTCTCTCTCACACACACACACACTATTGTATTTTATTTACATTACATTGTTCAACACCATATTTATTTCTTCTTCACCTTTTTAATATTGTTTTACACTAATCTTAACTTATTTTTATTTTTGTTTTATGCAGCATGCCTTGACAGCGGACACACACACACAGATTGGGGGATAGTGAAAACAGACAAGAGACGGAGAAAATAATATCAACCTACCTGCAAGGTTCAAGTAGTTCCTCCAGCTTTTGCAGTTTAGAGAGCTCCTGTGCAGTCAACATGGCAACATTGGTCTTTTGCATAGCCAGGGTAGTGGTCAGTGGAGATTTGTTTCGCTGAATTCGCTTGATCATTTCTAGGGTAGAATTCCATCTTGTTGTAACGTCCTGAACGAGAGATTCTTGTTTCTGTCCACATGCAACTTGTTGTTCCATTAGTTCGTGAGCGTTGGATGGACTATGCTTAAAGTGCCCAACAATCTTGCGACATTTTGCTAGGACACTTTCAAATCCACTGCCGTGAATGGAAACCGTCACAGTTCGTTGCAAAATGTGGGCCGTGCAGGGCAGGTGTTCAAATGGAAGTAGTCTCGCGGCAGCAACCATATTACGAGCACTGTCAGTGCCAAGTGTGCTTAACTTGTCCTCGATTTCCCATTCTCTTGCCACATTGAGAAAATGATCCGCACATGCCTCAGCGTACTGTCGTTCCTCAGTTTTAGACACAGTTAGTGCGAATGAATGCAATTTCCATTCTTTATCAACGAAGTGCGCTGTGATGCCTAAGTAGTTGTCATTGCTCACAGAAGTCCAGTGGTCCCCTGTGAGCGCGATGTGTGTCGCTTGCTGTAACGTGTTCATCCTCCGTGCCTTCTCATCGTCATACAAAGTGTGTATTTTTGACATGATGGTTCCTCTTGACGGCATATTGTATGAGGTGTCTCCCGACGCAGTTCTAATTACGTCCCGCAGTCCATCGTCATCTACTACGTTAATGGGTCAGCAGTTTTTTGGTTATCCAAATAACCAAAGCATTCATTACCTTATCACTTACAGATCTCGTCATTTTACCACGAACGCACTCCTGCAATTTACATTGGCGAGGCCCTGTAGAGATTATTTCGGTGGGGTGTTTTGCTTTTAAGTGATATGTCAAAGACGAATTACTTCTGTGGTAATTAAATTCGGCTTTGCAAAATGTACAGATTACTTTTGTTTTATCCACAGAACCATCCGGCAGAGTTTTATACTGAAACTTTCCGTCTAAAAGTCCTTCCTTGGTCTTATCCATACTTCTTTGCATGTTGAACACACGTCGGCCACAACAGGAAATAAAAAAAACTGCAACCGCATTAATTGCGTTCAATTTTTTTTAACTCGTTAAATATTTCAAATTAATCGCATGCGTTAACGCGCTAATTTTGACAGCACTAACATAAATACTTTCAACATAAATCTGTGGAAGTTTGTTTAAACACAATAATTTTATGTTGGTTTTAAATAATCAAGTTGATTAAAAATTATTGCTTTTCTACTACGCATGCGCATCCCAAACTGGATTTGCGAGATTTTACAGTGAAAGCAGGCACCATTTTCATTTTTAGGCAGATTTTGCGGTTGACTGGAGTGAGTGGGAGTTTTTTGTGCTTCGTCACGAATGTAAGTACCCAAATCGTTAATTATATATCAGTATTTATGTTTCCTTTACTCATTAAGCTGTTTTAACAGTTAGCTGATTTGCTCGGATTTGATGCACATTAATTTTCTAACGTGCTAACAGTCGCTAGCAGGCTAACGATGCCTTGGATTCAAAAATACAAATATTATTTTCTTTCATAATTTTTATTTTTTTAATTCATAATATTATTTATTGATTTTAGTGCATAAATTACAAGGAAACGTCTGATGAGCTGAATGTCTGTGGGCTTATCTCAGGTTAGTAGCGATTACACCTTGATTCTTCAACTGAAATTATTTTTATAGGATCATAGAAAGTGGTTTACACAAATTCCTAGTTGTATTATTTTTTTCTTTTTGGTTGACTCAAGAGAGTAGTAGTTTGCATGTTTTAATATACAGTATATAAAAAGCAATATTGTCTTGATTTATAGAACAACTGAATAGATGTTCAAAGGAAATGTATCCTCAAGGCCTTGTGCGTGTACTTCAGCGAAGACCACCAAGAGCTTGTAAAAGAATACATCGTAAGTTTAATAATTTTACCGAATTATCTATGTGTGATTAATTTGTGTATACATTATATTGTGCGTAAATGTTCAAGTATGCTTTGAGGTGTTAGATATTTAGATCAAATAAATTGTACTCTTTACCAGGACTTGGAAGAGGCTGAGAAGAACATGGGGCAGACATTGATGGCAGTGTACACAGTCAGGAGGGAGGGTGCCGAAGCTACTGATGAACCTACACATGTAGGCATTGTAATTGAAGGGGTGGAAGTCATTCAGGGTTTGAAAAATGTGGCTCTAGGCTGTGCCATGTTCTTTGGACTTATACAGTATATGCCCTTAACTTCAACTTTCCAGACAAACTAAAATGCACCTTTGAATTAATACAGAAGGCTATCATGAATCTGTTCCCTAAAGTGTTGGCCCTGAAAAACAAATTAGTTCAGGAATAGATATTGCACTTGTGCACCTTTTCAATAATTCATATGCTGAATACGATTGTATGTAGATTTGTTTGACTAAGTTATCTTGGAATTAGCAGTTTTGCCATTCAAAACCAAAGATTTTTAATAATCAGGGAATCACACGAGGTAACGAGGTGGGAGTGGCACACATCGGGATCGGACGGAGCGGGATATGACAGAACCCCCCCCCAAAGGGCGCCCCCCCCGGGCGCGCCCGAGAG